GCATGAATTGTTGTCTAATATAAGAAAATTTACAAGTATAAGTATAGGCACCTTAATGAAATCAATACAAACAAAAGAGACAATGTATGTGGAAGGCATGGCATGCCAGGGAGATTTCAGGGTTTAAATATTAAAAGATCGATGGCATTTTCTCTTGTGTAGCATAAACGGGAAAAGACAGAGGAGAAACATCCCCGATTTTATTATGCAGTCGTGGCTTTTATCATTATGTCACACATCATTTACAGTTTGTATGTGGGGCACAGGGCTGCGGCTAACCTCTGCCAACACTAACCAGATTTGAGGTACACTCATTTTTGAAATTTTAAAAAGACACACACATAAAATAATGATTAAAAACAAAAAAACCCCATCAACAATACAAGTAAATGTTTAAAAGTTTTAATTTTTAGAGAAAGTAATCAGGTGCAGTGGCTAATGTCTTTGCAAGCGTTGTGAACAGTTTAAGGTAAATTCATTTGTTTCTGCAAATTAGTTTATAATGCAGTGCTGACCAGTTTTCCTTGCTCCATGTAGGCACTTCAGCCTGTCCTCATGGCCGATTCTACTGCACCAATCTGGGTTTTCGCCCGCACTACATCCCATCATCCAGAGTCAATGATGGCATCTGTGGTAAGGCTGTGGTTTAATATTGTGTCTTACTGTCGGCTGGTAGCCGCCTTTTCTGTTTGGATGTCATCAGGGCAACTTGCGGTCCTGGAAATCCCCGCTGAGTGGAAACTACTGCAGAGGTGGTTTGAGTAACTTGGCAGGTATTCATAGATTAAAGCCTACAGCCGTCATAGAGCACAGGGAACATTGTCCTATCACAGATACTGTATATCAGTATTAATGTAGCTGCTGTTTGGTTATGAAGATATGTTAATAGTTTTATTTTCACATGTTGGACATATTATAGCTGAGCAGAATAAAGCCTGATTGATTTATTGTCAGGCTGATATTCTCTATTTGTCGTTGATCACTTTAGGCATTTAAAATAGATGATAAATGAAAATTAAAACAGTAAAGAACAGATGGGAGAAACGCCCTTCAGGCATGTTATGAATGTTGATGTTACATAGTTTATCCACCAGAGGGCACTGTGCAACTTTAGCATGCCTCAGACACAAATACTATGCTGAGGGGAAACAGGTAAGTACATAACTGAACAAAACAAACATTAGCAAAATCTCCTTATGTTTTATATGTCTGAAAGAAAAAAAATTGGAATATCGGATTTTTATATCACAAAATATCGGTCTCAAAAACACGGTATTGGTCGAGCTGTGAATACAATAGATAAATGTTGGCAACCTCCATCATTAAGTTGCTCTTATTTACTGATGCATGGCTGATGTTAGTGAGTTTGGGTGATATATCAGGGTTACAGAAGGTCATCTACTAATAAGAAGGTTAGTGGTTTGATCCCTGGCTGCTCCAGTCTGCATGTGAAAGTGTCCTTGGGCAAGTTGCTCTCCGATGTGTTGTTAGAAAGGACATCTCTCTATTAGTCTGTTTACCATCCAGCACTGGTCTTCCACTTACCCGACTGTTGGTCCCTGGTGGGTGGGGCTGAAGTCTGTCCAATTTGAAAAATCACTTCCTGTGATATCAGACTTTTTTTTAACTCCCTAAAACTTAGCATTGTTATTGGCACCAAAAGTCCCATATGAGTTATCTGTCAAGTTTTTTTCTACATCTCTTTGTGTATTTTGTTAATGCAATAGCATCACAACCACGTAATCAAAAACACGCTGTCGGGTCTTCATCAAAATAACTTAAAGTCCTGATTTTACCGAGTAAAAACTTGTTGTTTACTTTCCCTCTTGTGTATTTTGCAGACACGGACAGGAATTTATGTTTTGCTCGATGTGCAGATGCTGACATGTTGATGTACGCACTCTCAGTCTTTTTTGTAGCGCAAACAAACAATGTAGCTTCAACAAACAGAACATGGCTGCCTTCACACAAATGCAGATGCGTACATGCAGTCACTTCCCTCGCTCAGCTTTCCTTGAAAAACATCCTGCTTCTATTATTCTCAAGGCTTTCTTCCATTCTTTCTTGCCACATGCGCTGCCTAATCAGGTAGTTTTTCAGCCTCCCTTTTCTTTTCCACTTTTGTTCTCCAGTAGCTCGCCACTTTGGATAAATTCAATACATTCTGCTGCTGACATCTCTGCTCTGTCACCAGCTCGTTCTGCAGCAGTAGCAATAGACGGCATGTAACCATCGCAGGAAATAAAGCTGAAGGAATGAAGCATGAAAGAGCGGCAGGAGAATATTTCCCAAAGCCGCCCTCACCCTTTCCTCTTTCCTTTTATTCTGCTCCCACTTGTCTTCTTCTCATACCTTCTCTGCTTTGAATGGAGCCACTTAATAGCTAATTCATCATCGCTTTTCCTCTTTGACTGGTTGTTCAGAGACATTCATTGGCTTCCCTTTTTGGACTGTAATGCTCTCTTTCGATGGGTCACCAATGGGGTTCTGGATAATTGAGAGATTTCACACTGTGCCCACTCTCTTGGGTGAAACATCAGAGAAAGAGCCAGATCTGAGCACTTACAAAACACCATGCAGCTGATGTTATAAGTGGCTGAAATCAAGAGACCTTCTTCGAAACGCAGAGAGATGTCACGCAGACCTAAAGATTTAATCTTCAACTTTAAGGACGAAGATTTCCTGGGTAGCTCAACATGAAAGAGAATATACATTTGTCAGCATAATTAATTACATTTCAATCGTGTGGCTTCTCGTGATTAAATGAACACGATGCTGTAAATGTGTGCTCGACCAGAAGAACACAAAGCAAAAGCCAGGAAAGCGCTCCCTAAATCATCACTTGATGACCTGCCTGCTTATGCCAATCACAGCTGTTCCCTGCACCGCACAGCACGAGCTTTCCCAAATGCACTTGACCGCAGTGATATACTGTAGATAAAAGGCCATTACTGCAAAGCAACACAACTGTCATATTCAGCTGCCTCAAAACACAACACAAGCTGCAGAATGATGAAAACCAAGAAAACCATTGCAGCAGCTGCTAATGTGAATCGTCCGGCTTCAACTCAGACGTCGATACTTTATTATTATTACTGTCATTACACAGAAATGTTTTGTTTTATGCAGTATGTTGAATTTTTAAAGGATAATCTGATAGAGCACGACTGATATGGGATTTTTAAAAAGCGTACCGATATTTGGTGATTTAAAAATCCGATATTTTGATGCACTGGTTAATTTTTTTTCTTTCACACACAATAAATGTAACAATATAATTACACATAACAGTAGCACATTGTTATATGTAGCGATATTCCGTTGCACTGCTCGTCTTTGCTGGGATCGTCTGGTTGTTTTTGGTCTTGCCTATAGAAAAGTTCCAGAGGTGCCCTCTTGTGGATAAACTATGCAACTTCAACCCTTGTAACATTGTTGAAGGGCGTTTCTTCTTTACTTTTTAAATTTGAATTTTGTGCTGATACTTATATAAAGGCAAAGAGCTAATATTGACCCGTGATATTGCGTTGTCTGACACTCTGGGAGATACACTTCTTTGAGTTAGTGGTGGCAAAAACCTGCAATCCTCAAGGCACCACATGGGGCTGTATCCAAAATGAAGTCACTCTTGAAACAGTCTCATGTTAAAATAGGCAACTGTACTTAAGCAAGAAAGAAAAATCATTAAAAAAAAAGAAAAATCATATTTACATGCTGGTAGAAAAAAAGGTTTTGCTACATAAACATAATTTACACCTTCATAACAACTGTGATTTTTTTTTTATAAGTCCCTTTTAAACTTTGGTTAGGCTTGACTGCCAGGTGGAAACAGCCACAGGCGGCTGTAACCAATATCTGCCTGCTAAGATTCACCTCAGCTAATTGAAGTTGCTGAACTTGACCTTTCAACCACATTTATGGCGCTGGTGCTTTTTGGAGCTCTATTACTGGAGTTATCTGAGCTATATTATCCAATAACATGCCTTGCTGTGTTGTTAATTGTACTGACAGCCTATCCAAGACGTCTGTGCTTCAGCAAGTGAAATTCTATTTTATTTTTATGTTGCTTAGCAGTGTCTGCGCTGCACCCATACACTGAGCTGATGCACTTTTCTAACCAGTGTTTTCAGCCATGGTCACTTCTGGTTCCAAAAAACCCCCAACAGCTTTAAGCCTGAGCTTCACAAAGCACTGTCAGATGTCACAGTGAATACATCACCATGGTTTCTAGCCTTAGTGCTGTGCTAAGCTACAGTACTGTGCAGAAGTCTTGTGTCCTCCAGTATGTACAGAAGAGGTCAATTGAATGGTATAATAGTGAGTGTTTGTCTGTAAAACTTAGTGGAGGCTCTGTTATGGGCTGTATTTCAGCCAGTTTTGTTGGGGATCAGAATCGATGTTGTTATGAACACAGAAAAGTATCATCAGATGTTGATTCACTGTGCAATACCATCTGGAACGAGTCAGCTTCATATTTGAGCATGACAACGATCCCAAACGCGCTGCCAATGCAGTAAAACGAGTCATGGATTGGCCTCCCCAGAGTCTGGAGCTCAACATTATTGAAGAAGAGTGTGATCAGAAAACAGAATGAACAGCAGCCAACATCCAATGAGCTTTGAATGTCCTTTAAGAGGTCTAGAGAACTATTCCTGAAGACTACTTAAAGAAATTCCAAGAAAGCTGCCTAAGACGGTTCAGGCTGTGTTAAAGATGCCGTCGAAGTTTCTCTTGACTTAAAGTTTTTTGGCTTAAAGTTTCAGCTCAGTTTTCCTGTAGCATATTTGTGTTTATTGTTTGTTATAATTTTAATGAAAAAAACTGTGTATTATATGTTGGAAAGCAAAATATTGCTTTTGCAGAAAGCATCTTGTATTTTTTGTTGTGTATGAGTTTAAAAAAACAAACTTTGATCTGTTGTGTAGTAATAGAGTAAGACATTGTAAACATCTCCGTTCTGACAATGTGGTATGCTTTTCATGTTTTGGTCTGTGTGCATTGGATTGGTTTCTCCTGTGTCTCTTTGCCAGATTGCTGCGATGCTTCTGATGAATACAACAGCCACACTCGCTGCCAGAACACTTGCTGGTCAGTCGATTCAAAATTGAGATTCGGTATTTATGTATTAACACATGTGCAGTTTGACTCGAAATATGTCGCCAGACGCCAGAGGGTCCAGTTATTTAAAAATAAATATCCAAATGTGAAAAGATATTCATGCGGTCTGATATAAAACAGATCTTTGAGGGGAATTCACCATCATCTGAATAGAAAGCTGCTTACCATAGCAGCAGTATGATGGACTCTGCAGTGAATCGGTTACTGTGCCACCAGGGGGCATGGTGTCACTGTGATTTAAAAACTCAGGGCTGTGTGTGCATCACAAAATTGTATTGAAGAGTTCATCTGTTAAATGCAAATGTGACTCACGACCTTCTTGCAAATTTTTCCTCCTCCTCCTTTTTGCTTTAAACTGCTCCCACCACCCAGAGCCTTTTTTTCCTGGGAGATAATTTAGATAAGTTATAAATTACACGGCGCAAAGGTGGAAGGTCCCTGAATACAGCTGTTTATAAGAATTCATTTTCCTGCCGCGATGTATTTATCATGTTTTTCTGAGCTGAGCTGCAAAGATGGACGATGCTGCGGCGCAGAAACGCAGCCCGCTGTGTATATGTCGCTAACCCACTTCTTTTGTTGACAGTCCTCTATTATTTCATTCACCGCGCCATTCGTCTCGAAGCCGCGTATAAGCAGAGTGTATCTCATTATGTTTTCACAAGGTCCGCACTCATATTGTGTTTGCCAGGCTTCAGAAACAATTTAGCTGAGCCGCAGAGCATCGGCCCCCATCTTATTTACTCTTCTATTTTCCCATTTGGATTCCTGCTGCATCGCAGGCCCTTAAAAATTGGATTGCGCCATCTCGGTGACCATAACAGGAGCGGCTGACGTTTTCTCAGTAATGATGGGACTGTGCTTCCTCTCTTTCTCTCTCTCGCCTTTCCTCCAGGAATCTAGGACAGAGAGAGAGGGCGTACGTGGAGGGCCAGATGAGGACCTTGGATGAAGGTTTGCGACTCAAGCAGCAGCTGATTGAGGAGGGAGTGCTGCTCTGGAGGGAGAAACAGGTAAAAAAAATTCTTGTAGAAGTTCCAGCTATTATACGGCATGTGTTTGAAAACCACCCAAAAAGTAGATCAGTTCGTGTTCACACTGGAACTAAGTCATCGTCTAAGCACGGCCTCTACGTCAGGAGAAAACTTGGAGAACTTTTGTGATTTCGATTTTAGAGGTTACAAAACTATTACAGAACTGATTAACAGGTTTGAAGCAGTCTTCCTCAAAGCAAATAGTTAAATTAGTGATACAGCAGGGTAACATTACACTAAATTGGTTGCTCTCACCTGTCTAGTTCAGCATCAAAGTGGAATTGGAGAATCACCTGTTAACCTAACATGCATGTCTTTGGACTGCTGGAGTGATTGGAGGGAGATTGCACATGCACACAAGAAGGCCCCCAGCTGGTGGCTTCAGCACCACCGTGAGTCTATAGGGTCCAATAGGGGGTCCATGACCCTCATAGGGCTTAAAATCTGCGACTCTGCTGCGACCGGTTGGGGTGAGAGAAGGAAGACAGGATAAAAGACATGCTGTGGAAGAGAGACAGAGGTTAATAACAGATATGATTCAATGCAGAG